GGGCGGCAAGGCCATGGGGGAGAGCAGGAGAGTCGGGCCAGGGGTGGACATGTCAAGGGCATGCGAGGGGGGCCGTGCATTGTTGCTGGGTGGGCTCCAGTGCCAAAAACAGCCTGGGGACCGCCCTGTCCCCATGCCCTGGGACCTTCTGGTGCAAGGACAGGGCACATGTACTGGGCTGCCTGCAGCTGGGCTGGGCAGGGCACAGGCAGGGTTCAAGGCAGGCGCCGGTGGACAGCGGCTGCCCAGAAAAACTCGAGGGACCCTTCCTGTGCTAGGGCTGAGCAAGCCCAGGGGTAGCTCGCCAGCCTGGCACAACAAGCCCACCCTCCTGGCTGTGGCGCTGCGCCTGCCCACCCTGCAGGCAGCCAGGGGGCCGCGGGTGTTGCTGGCAGGGCAGAGCTTTCCGGGCCAGCTGTGCTGTCTGGGAAGGAGATGAGTAAGAGCTGGGCCCCGGGCGGGAAGGGGAGGAGCGGGACTTGCAGGCTCCCCCGAGAACCAGCGCCGATCCACTCCCACCACCCCCAGCTGCTGCCCGCCACCTCCTTCCCCTGCCTCAGTTTCCCCCAAGGGGCACAGCAGCCCCTCCTGGACCTGGGGGAGAAAGGCGGAGGTGAAGCATGGCCATACTGCCGTGCATGCCCCAGGGTGCCCGGCAGGACAGGGTGGGGGCTGGAATGGGCAGGCCAGACAGGAGCCAGCAGCGTGTGCTCGCTCACAGGCAGTGGAGCTCAGGGCGCCAGTGTGATTGATGGGGTGGGGTGCTGCAGGGAGCCTTCTGCCCTGGGGAGCTGTGGCAGGTGCTGCATCACCCCACTGCCACCCAAGCAGGCACCCCCTTGCACCCGCATGAATGCTGCCAAACTGCCAGCCACACTGCGCCACTGTGCTGGGCTGAGCTGTGCCAAGCTGAGCCGTGCCATGCCAGGCTGAGCTGTGCTGAGCGGGCCCAAATAGTGCTGGTCCCTGGTGGCACAATACTGTGCTGGGACAAACCAGGTCGTGCTGAGCCGAACTGTGCCAGCCCTGCTTGTCCATGTCAGTCCGAGCTGAATTCCATCGAGCAAAACCGGGCCAGGCCAAGTGGAGCCAAACCAGGTCAGGCCACTGGCCATGCCACGCTGTACTGAACTGAACCATGCCAGCCCCGTGTTGTGCCATGCTGAGCTGAGCTAAGCCAGAACATGCCAACCCCACTGAGCTGTACTGAACCATGCCAGGCCGAGCCATGCTGGGTGAGCCAACCCAAGCTGGCCCCCTTGCCATCCCATACTGAGCTGAGCCAAATTGTGCCAGGCTGAGCTGTGCTGTGCTGAACTGAATTGTGCCAGCCCTCCATGTCATGCCATGCTGGGCTGAGCTGGACTGAGTCAAACCATGCTGTCTGGGCTGTGCCAAGCTGAGCCAAGCAGCTCAGTACAGGTCCCTGGGCTGAGCCGTGCTGTGCCAAGCTGAGCTGAGTAGCACGGTGCTGTGCTGTGCCATTGTGTGCTGAGCCATGCCATGAGCTGAGCTGTGCCAAGCTGTGCATGAGCTGTGCTGAGCCGTGCCATGCCGTGTTGAGCTGAGTCGTGCCGAGCTGAGCTGTGCTGTGGCTGTGCTGAACTGGGCTGAGCTGAGCTGTGCCAAGCCAAGCTGTGCCATGCTGTGCTGAGCCTAACCGAGCTGAGCCATGCCAAATTGAGCTGTGCCATCCTGTGCCTAACTGTGCCGTGCCTAGCTGAGCCAAGCTGAGCCGTGCCATTCCGTGCCGTGCCAAGCCGAGCCGATCGCCGCCGTCCCTCCGCGCCTCATTGGCGGCGGCGGAGCAGCCCCGGTGCCGGGTCGGCCCGGCCCGGCCCCG